CACACACACACACGACATAATCTGCCTCGTTGAATGCTGCTGAGACAGCGCCGACGCCGCCGATGTCGGTGACTGCGCGCCATTTATCGCACTCGTGAACACGCACCAACTGCAGTTTTGCTGTGTCGAGGGACCGGCACGAATATGAATTTTGGGTTCAGTTACCCATTTTGATGAGATCAGTGACATAGAAATGAGAGGTGATGATGGAGAAGATTGAGAAAGCACAGCATTGCCTTGCCAAGTGCAGCGCAAACATTCTTTACACTTTCGTAAAGGTGAAGCCAAAGCATGTAAACAGCCCAATTAAAGTATTTTGGGTTTTTTGAGTAGGTCTTGATTACCTCACTCGGTTTTGTTGATCAAAAGCCTCTTTGTTTCACAACTCGCTCATAAATTGATCCATTTAGTCTCTCATTTAGCTCTTTGTCAATACTACACAAAAATTCTCTTTCAGTAATTGTCGTAGCGTGTTCTTTGATTTGCTATCGTATAGAACCTGTATCAGATCCTTAAGGTTGAATTTGAAGGCTCTTAGCAACTCTGTTCCACTTACAAAACATCTTATCTACACATTTTCGGCAAAAATGCTAAATGCTTCTTTTTGTTCGGAATCAGCTGAACTTAACTTGCTATCTAGATGTTGACATCATCTTGCTGATGTCAGCCTCTTCTTGATATCAATATGTTTGTATAAAATTTTGTCCGGTCTTCCTAATTAAGTCACCAAGAGAAAGCAGCAACTTGTAATGATATGAGTTTGAACAAGTTGGATGAATGCTTATAGTAATTATTGAGGGTATGAAACTCGGCATTTCTGGCTCTGGATCTCTTTTGCAGTTAAGGTGTAATGCCAATGTCATGAATATGTGAGGAACAGCACTGTTAGAACTTTCACAAGGAAAATGGATGGTTCTTGACTAAACTGTTCAAGTAATTTGATAAGTGACGAAAATTGCGTTATATCAAAATTAATCCCATATAATTTGAATTTTCCCAGAAAAAATTTTCTTTCCGATTATCTGCGACAAACAAATCTGTCATCATGTATATTACAGATGCACTCACGAATAGCAGTACTGCGTCGCATCACTCTGTACCTGTTGGATTACCGTCTACTTCTGCCCCAACCGCTACAGCTACAACAGCGGTGACCAACAATGGTGGACGACGTTTAGAACCGGGGGAAATACCTGTCACGAAGAGGTAGGAAATAATTTGGACAAAAATTACAGTAGGAGACTAGAAGAATGACGGGTTTTCACAGTTCTGAAGTATGTATCCTTATAATAAAGATTCTGTTTCTAGCTCGGTCAATAAAACTCTGAACAGCATGAACAAAAGCATGCTGGATGCTGCGATGCTTCAATTACTGGCCACGCAAATGATGACTCAACAGGCGGCCGTAGCCAAATTGAATGGGTAAGGTTTGAATGTGCAAGAATCTCAAACTGTACTAATCGGAAGCGAGTATTCCGTTTGCATCAAGATTTCCGGATATATTAGGTGTTATACATTCATTTAAATTGCAATAGCTAATGTCTTTAAACCTACAGCTAATTCTTTATTACAACAGTGTTGTCTTTTTTCAGGCACTCTAACAATCATCACAAAGCTACGAAAAAAGACGCCGCACAACTAGCTCTTGATCTCTCATCCAGGACAAAAACTGAGCCAGGTAA